GTCAGGATTGGGTAATCTAGGGTTTGGGTTTATAGTTTAGGGTTTAAGAGGGTCGTGGGATGCCACCCCCGGCTTCAAGGTGAATTCAGTCCTTACTGGTCCCATTGGGATATATGTTTGCTTTGAAACCTTAGTTTTAAACCCTTTACTGCTAAGCTTAGACTTAGACTAAAGCTCGGCACAGGGAAGCCACATGCGACGGCAGCATCTCCTTGGCTTTGCAGGCCGGACATATTTGTAGAAATGACTTCATTCTCAATTCATTTGTCAATCTCTTACTAAATAAAATGATTGAGCTGGGGTTCGCTCTGCAATCTTCTTCACATGTTCCTTTCGTCGTTTCTTTTCAGCTTTCTCGTGCTCTATGGCATCACTCTGAAGTTTCCTTTTCTCTCTTGGGCATTCCGGCTTGTAGGTGCCAGCTTGAAAAGCAAGGATAGCCTTCTTGCGGTGCTTCTGCCGGTTGAAGCTGAGCTCTTGCTCGTGTTCAGCAGACCACATGTCTTCGGCCAGTCGCTTCATCCATCGTGGCGAGGGCACCTTGTCGTCAGAGGATGATACCGCAGCTTGCACGGCCTGCCGGCGCTTCTTCAAGAACACAGTCTCGCACTGCATCGGCGATTGGACTTTCTTCTTCTTTCGTCGCATACAAAGTCTTTTCGCAGACTTAGTTTTCAGAGGATTTGAAAGCAATTCTCCATGAAATTTCAAAGGTAGGGCTCCAATTGCTGAGGTGGCAACTTTTCGGCAGTTGCCATATACCGCTGCCTGGAATGGAAGCATTGCACTGATTAAATTAGTAGCCAAGATATTTAAATCGCTCCTAAAGTTATTGCTGGTGAGAGACCCATTCATGCTGCGCTTGGTTGATGAGCCTCAGATTCACAAAGGAGATTCAATAGTCTAAGAGTCTAGTATTCCTAACAAAGATTACTTGGGGGTAGTATTTATCTTCAGGATTTTAATCTACGACTTGGCAGTAGCACTTGACTGAAGCTTTATGGGTAAAGTAAGGTGAGGCAGCTCATCTTCTTTGTCAGCCGGGTAAGAGAGGGTCCGGAGTTCGTCATTGACCAATTCTTTTTGGCATCGTCTCTTCTTCAAGAGCCACTTCGGAAACCTGGGCAGGACCGTTCTGATGGGCTCAACCATACGATCCGAACTCAGCTTTGAACCCTGCTTAACCCACCCTAAGCCCCAGAAGCTTACCGTGCTCTTGTAAGCAACAGTAAAGGGTTGATTGGCCAGGATACGTTCTCTCCACACCACTGGTGCTGAAGCCCCAACTTTGCCCACGCAACACAACAGCATGCACAGCATCTACAGGTCGACCAGCTTTTGCATCTTTCATGACCTGGGTTACCAAGGGTTGTTAACAAAAATATAGTCTGTTAGTCGTCGAGCCTTGGGTACAAATCCTCAAGTGGAGATTGGCATAGTCTACTAGATTAGACGACAGTAAATTAAGAAGATGTGAAGTGAAGTTTATTATTTCATCCCATTGAAATTCTGCAACATTCTGAAACCATCTTCTTGCCATATGCAGCGGCAGCCCTCGCCCAGCATTCCAGTGCAGGCTTCTTGGTCTGCGCTCGGATGCCCGCTGCGAGAGGCTTGACATCGAAGAGTTGTGTGGTTAAAGTTGCCTAGGTATTTGACACTGACTCAAGCTATGAAATAAGGCTCTCCTCGACGGAACAAGTTGCATCAGAGAGTCCACTGGCAGATTCAACACATGTGCCATCCGATCAGCTGCCTCCTGGATATCGCCAGGGTCTTCATCCAGCTGGAGCAGCGTGGTGATGGAGTGGAAACTTTCAAAGCACGGCAACTCGGCACGGACAACCTCTTTCACTAGAGTCACCCATAGATGCATTCTTGCAGCCACTTTCCGTAGAAGTTGCTGTGTCAGCTGCTCTTGGCCACCGATTTTCCGAGTATGACCCGGGCCGTCAAAATGCAGAATAATCGGCTCGTTCTTGAGTAATGTCCTCAAAGGACCGTTTTGGGATTTAGGGGTTTAGGGTTTGGGGTTTAGGGTTTTGGGTTTAGGGTTTGGGGCCTCGAATACAACACCATCATTGTCATAATAATGCTTTGTTGTGTCAGAAATGAATGCAAGTGAGATGCAGCAGGAAATGTCCATACGTCCCTTTTGTTTGCCAGATGCGTCCCTGGCTGAAGAGATAGGTAATTCGATGCAGGAACCTCAATTGATTGAAATTTCTCGAGGACCCCTCGGCTAAGGAGTTTCACGTGACCGGGCTGCAGACCGTCCCAGCTCCTGCTGCATTGCGACACCATCAAGCTGATCAGTATCAGCCATTCGCACAATAACCATGTGCTCGTCATGGGCATCTGCAAGTGCCGCAAGTGTCCTCAAACATCCGTAACATGCAAGCCAGAATTACAACAAGTCTAAGTTGGTACAATCAACAACTAAAGCCAAGGCAGTGCCATCTCTGCATCACAGCGATGGAGCAGACCTGCCATCGCTTGACCCTCTGCCTGCAAGAGCACATGCGGTTTAAGGG